GTTCACAAGAGGATGAAGATGCTGCAAAAGTAAAGCTACTTTGAAATGTGTCTCCTAAACAAGAATCATATTTCGACTGGACCTCGCCATCACTATTTTGACTCCCGATTTTAGAGCCGGAACTCATTTCAACGTCAAGTGCAGTCACAAACGAATCCGTGCAGTGATCCAACTCATCATTCACAGACTTAAAGCTCTCGGTCTCAGCCCCAGAGGCAGCACCTTCTTCTGGATTCTCAACCATAATTCTCTCATTCACATGATACACAGATTCTTCATCTTGCCCTACACTGCTCTTGGCATCAAGGTCGTTTATATTTAATCCCTTGGTTGCGGAGACGAGAGTTTCATCGGCTACACCGTTTGATTTATTATCATCTACATGAAAAGATTCCTCTGATGCCACTGAAGTATCTCTCGAGAAACTACTGTTGTTAGCCAGTGTTTCCTCATATGGAGATAAGTCCATGGGAGAATACTGTTCATTGGATTTGCTGTTTGTTTCTGGGCTTTCCTGAAAGACAAAACTCGGCTGGAACTTCGAAGGTACCTGCACATGCTTCTGACATTTTCCCTTCTTTTTCTTTATTCCACTGTCCTTGTTTAAGTCCTTCTTTGTCTCGTTTTTTCTGCTTAGGCCAAATAATGCATGTGCTTTTGGGTCCGGAGTCTTGAACTCCACTGGTTGGGCCGCCATACTATTCAACGTGCTAGTAAAGCTGAACTCGACTTTCTTCTCAACTCTGTCCATAGAAGGCATCTCGGGCATAGTCTCTACAGCTTTGAAATTGATGGCACTGGATGCAAAGGGTGGTGCCAGTGGCGAATTACTTTCATTTTGAGAGTTCCTATGAGTACCAATGTTCTTGCTTTCCAAAGACTGAAAAGTAAACTTCGGATTTAGTGATCCATAAACATTGTTCAAATACCCATGACCACCCAAATTCTCAGCCCGCCTGCCATGTGTAGTTTCCGGACCAGAACCCGTGCTTGGTTTGGACCCAGAATTTCTACTAACTTTGAATGTGAATTTACTCTCGTCTTGAGAACTACCATCATCAGCCGAACTATTCAAAGAATCTTCGATTTTCAGATTCTTGATCTCCTGGGGAAGCATATTATCGATGCTTCCACTTGACTTGCCACCATTGCCTCCAAAGCCAACGCTCGTCGAACCATCATGCCTAGAGTCTTCCATACTCAACTTATTCATCTTATTAGGAAGTCCTTCCACATTCCGACCGTAATTTTCACTATAACGTTTGCTTTCGATGTGCAGCCTTCTCATCTCGTCAGGTAATTCAGAAACCACGCTTTCATTGACTCCCAGAAAAACGGTATTTCTACCACTCAAATTTACATTACCGCCAATATTGCGGCTAGCACTACTGCTACTATTATTGCTGTCATTCTTCATATTCATTCTCTCGGAATTCGTCTTTTCGCTCTCAATTCTCAGTTTCCTCATTTCATCAGCAGCCTTACTTGTCTCCAAATTACTGTTATTATTATCCCCAACAGGCTCACTAAATAAGCTACTCTTGGTACTACTACTGCTAGCATTGGCCACAAACACAAAACCACGATCCGCATTCTGTTTGGTCAGATCAAAATCAGGTTTACGACCCGGATCAATGCCCAATCCAGTACCCAAATCTTCCGCAGCAGGGAAGGAGCCCGATTGGGTTGCAGGCCTGAACAGATTGGGACGGTGGCCGGTCAAGGGTTTCCGGAGCTTGGCGAGACGGGGCGGGCGGGAGAGGCCGGCCGCGGGCTTCGGGTGGCCCAATAACGGCGAGCTAAACCCGAAATCCGGATCCATTTGGGTTTGAAATCGCGCGTGCGCGGTATAATAGTCGGTGACGGGATGATATATGCGAAGAGAAAACTGACCGGCGGTAGTGGAGCGCCGGAGTCAACGAAGGCCGATGACCCAAGTCATCAAATAGGACGGCCGGCGACGAGCCGCGAACGATTGTCGTCGGATTTTGGGGAAAGTAGATTATGATTTCAATTTTATTCCGGAATCGAGGGAGTTTAGGAACGGCGGTTTACTGTGTCTGATTTGTCTGTGAAATACTATGATTAGAGAAAAATGGAACCTGGAAATAAATCATAAATTGTGCCTTGTTTTTCATTTTCTTGGATCAGTTACTTGCAATTGAAGGAAAAAGGTAACGCATGGATGTGAATCATCGGCCCTTTTTTCACATGAATCATGGTCGAACAAAGTTTTTTATTTCATTAATTGTTTTATTAATTTTTTTCTTGTCTGTTTAAAATAAAATAATTAAAGTTGATTTAATGTAAAAGTAAAAAAAATGATTTGAAGTGATGGTTAGTTAAAATTATGTGAGTAAATGAATAATTAATTAAAGTTGATGTGATGTGTAAAAATGGTTAGTTGATATTAATTAATTATATTGACAATATTGTGAATAAAATAATTGAGTTAGATTTTGAGTATGAATTGAAAAATTTATAAACAACCACCTCTAATACTTTCACAAGTGGAGAAGTAATGAAATACAACTCTCACAAGTGGAGGATTCTAACTCCTAAAAAGGAGAAAAAAAAAACACACATACACACACACAAAACCACAAAACACAACTACAAACACCACCCTAAATAGTAGAATAAAGTCCTTCCCTACTGCCAGTAAACAACTCCAACCCACCACCACACGAGGCAACACCGAAGATGACTACCCCACAAATAAAACCACCCAAGGCGCATATTAAAAAACTCCAATATTGCTACAGTTGACTAGATCCGGCCCAAACGAACTAGAAACCCGCCAAAGTGGTCACCACCAGAGAGCAACACCTAGAGGCCAGCTCCCAACACCATCCCCCACCACAACCCCGTCAACCACGGGCCGGTTCATCCGAAGATGAACCGAGCCACCGTCAAACGCCGGAGGAAATTCATCCAAACACCCGAGAACATACATGATTCGAAGGAGGAGTAAGTGCCGACCCAAGCCCCAGTCGCCCCATGAATTGGCTCTTGGAAGAGTTGCTTCTTAAGTGAGCAAGTAGAGAGGCCCTTATTAAAACTGTCTTGAATTCTATTCTAGTGTATGTTATGGCTTGTTTTAAGATTTCAATTGTTGTGTGTAATGAAATTTGTAAGTCAGTAGCATCCTTTTGGTGGGTATAAATCATAGAAAGGGGATGACAGAATTCATTAGTCCTCTTGGACTGGGTTGGTTTAAAGGTAAAAAAGAAGGGGGTCTAGGGTTTATAGATATGGGGGTCTTCAATGAGGCCTCCATTGTCAAACATCTTTGGAGAATACTTACTCATGTTCTACGATGAAATACTTTTCCGCCTAGCCCCATGAAGAAGTTTTTGTAAAAAAATGGAATTTGTTGGTAAGTAAGTTGATTAAGGGTAGGTATTTTCCTAAGTCCAGTTTGTATGAGGCAAAAAAGAGAGATGGAGATTCTTGGATGTGGTAAGGGTGGTTAGGAGCTAGGTATTCATTGGTCAAGGCTAAGATATAAGATGGGAGATGGGGCCTCAATTAAAGTTTGGGATTAACCTTGGATCCCAAACAAAAACAATTTCAAACCTACTTGCAATTCTTTTGAAGTCAGCGGTAGAGTGGTGAAAGTATGTGATATGATTTTGGAAGGGGGTAGATACTAGAATAAGGAGTTAGTTGAACAATCATTCAATCCTTTTGATGCTCAGTCTATACTCAAGATATAGTTAAGTCATTTACATAAAAATGATAGACTAGTTTGGCACTTTGATCCTAAAGGTGTTTTTTTATCTGTAAAGTCGACTTATGAGAATATTTTGGCTAATAGATCTGGCTGTAGGAGTCATACTTCTTCTAGTATGGTGGATGCAATTGCAAGGAGAATGTGGAGTAGAACCTGGAAGCTGCCCATGCATCCAAAGCTGAAGAATTTCATGTGGAGGGTGATCCATGGTTTCTTGAGCACTAAATAACTAGCTAGAAGAGGAGTGAGTATAGACTCAATATATATTTTATGTGGTGAGGAGCAAGAAGATCCAAAGCACCTGTTTTACCAACGCTCTCACACTCGTATCTGTTGGAAGCTGTAAGGATTAGAATGGTCTGCTTTACAGGATAAGGCAAAAACTCTGACAGGCTGGTTGGAAGAGATATGCAGCAGCAGTTTCTTCAAACTTCAACAAAGGGTCACTTTGCCTGTTTGTTTGATTTGGAGAATATGGAAGGCCAGGTCTAATAGTGTATTCAATAGATAGCCTTTTAAGGAATTAGAAGTGGTGGCAGGTGCAAGGAAGATTGGCTATAAATGCTAAATATCAAGAGTTCTGAAAGGGAATCAGAAGTACCAAGGCAGTGCAACACTGATTACCAAAGAGAACAATTTTCCAAGAGAGTAGGGCTAATGACTCTACGAGCCAATGCTTTATGTTCACCAAGAGGAAAAGTGGAGATCTACGATACAACAATGCAGGATGAAGTGCAGATCCACACTTGGTAGGAGGCTGGAAATTGGGCAGAAAATAAAAAAGAGGCCACATTGCTAGCTGTAAGGTATACTCTGGAAAAAGCTAAGGCAAATGGGTGAAAAGAGGTTCAACGCATTCCTAAGGACAGAGGGGTGGTGATTAATCTGAACTCCCACTTACATGTTGTGCCTTTTCTTTTTGTGGTGCTTGATGATATTAGATAACTGAAATATTGTTATAAGCGTGTGTTTTCGGTTTGTCCTCTTTCTTTTATCGCTTAGTGGCCATGTTGGTCGGTTGAGTGTGATTCACGTAGTGTTTTTCCTGTGTTCTTTTCTTCCTAGCTTGTTGGTTAAGTTGAAAAGTGTTGTAATCAGTTGATCTACCAATTGTACGTTTCTTTGAGCTAATTTTGAGTAATACTATTTAGCTCACTTGGATGACAACATGAATTACAACTCAAGTGTAAATGCATTATCCAAAATAAAAAGAATATTATATTTACACTTGGCTCCATAGCTCGTTAATTTTAAGAGTTTTNCGAAAAAGCCCAACCCAATTTCATATTTAAAAAAAAAAAAAAAAAAAAAAAAAAAAAAAGACACAAAGCGGTAAAAGAAACAGTGCTAGACTATAGGGTTTCAAAATTGTGCAAAATCGACATTGATAAGAAATTCCGAAAACCCTCCTTCCCTTCCACATCTGAAGCCGAGAAACATAAAAGATCTCTAATGGCGAACGCGGAGGCCGAGGCGATTGATTTCGAGCCGGAGGATGACGATCTAATGGACGAGGACGTCGGCGACGGCTCCCCTAATCGTAACGGGGCCTCCGCTATCCCCCGGCTGAGGTCTGCCATCGCCGGAAGTGGCTCTTCATCGGCTCCTAAGAAGACCAAGGGCCGTGGGTTCCGAGATGAGGCGGCTGCTGAAGCTGACCGCAGTGCTCGCATGTCTGCCCGGTTTGACACGCTCGACTCTGAAGGAGGCCCTGGCCCCGAACGATGTAAGCATCGAAACCCTAGCATTTCTAGCCTTATTCAGTTTTGGCGTAGTTATATGTGTAGGTTTTGTTATATCTGGCCTTATTCCTATTTGTTTAGTAAAGAGTGATGAATGAATTCTGTATGAAAACCCTTATTACAGTTTTATTGGCACATTTTTTTTTTTTATTTATAACTTGTTAATTTTCATTAAGGGATGCATAAACTTGATGGTTGTGGGTGTTAGCTATGGAGAGACAGGGACGTTTGATTTTAGGATTAATATTTCTACTTGATTTCACAATTTTATTTTGTCTTCCATGACATTGTATTAGTATCAGGATTGTTGAATGAAGATATGTTGGTCGGTGTCCCCGGACATTAGGGTGTAGTAGCTGCATCAATAAATATGATCTTCTATTTTAATTTTGTGACAAATTTTGTCATTAGCATTGATTGGTGAACGTTATCATTACAGTTGTGGAGAAAAGGATTCTTTGAACTTGACATGAGTTTAAATGGTGGTTCTTTAACTTTTTGGTATGTCATATTGATGTTATACACGTACACTCATATTTGTTTCTAGTGTTAACATACTTGTTACTGTTGAAAAGACCTAGTAATAGTCATTTTAGGTTAGATAGCATCCTTACCATCCCTTCAAATATATTGCAGCTGGTTATTGGGATTGAAGTTGAGTTCTTATTGTCTCTTTTGCGTGTGTAGCAATTGAAGGTTGGATTATTCTTGTTACTGGCGTTCATGAAGAGGCGCAAGAGGATGATCTACAAAATGCATTTGGTGATTTTGGAGAGATGAAGAATCTACACTTGAATCTTGACCGTCGTACGGGGTTTGTCAAGGTATGGAAATTGTTTGATGAAGGCACTGTGTTCATTATGAAATTTCCAACTTTGGCGCTAAGTAGGTAAGTTACAATGAAGAGTTTCATCTAAAGATGTCTTGTGTACCAAACTATCTACGTCATTAGATTAATCTATAAACTTAAATGATGCTTCTCTTCAAGATCTTTGTCATAGGAGCCAAAGTTGGAAAATTGTGATTTATGTTTCATGTTCTGGTCATGGAATTGAGTTATACGTCATGTTAGCTGCATGTGGAGAAGCATCCATTGGCTTAGTTATTTCACTAATGATTGTCTTTCTGTGGACGTCTAGAAGTTTTGGAACGGGCATGATCCTCTTGTCAATTACCCACTTTTATTTCTAGTATTATTGTAGGGATGACATTGCTCTTTTATGACATTTGTTACTCATCTGTAGTCATGATAAGGAAGATAGAGAACAATAAACTTCACATGTGTGGAATATACTCAAAAGCTGCTATCTTTGTGGATGTATTGTATGTCTTTGTGGTTTAATACTGCAATATGTTAGTAGCCTTCTCCTGAATTGCATTGTAGACCTTATGACTGCTATGCATTTGGTCTTTTTTGTTCTTATTTTCTTTTGATGTGAATCAGTCATGTCTATACACCATTTCCCATGTCTTACTGCGAGTTGCTTAGCTGCTGCCTGTAAACATTATTGCTGTTTTTTAGGGCTATGCTCTGATTGAATATGAGAAGTTCGAAGAGGCCCAGGCAGCTATAAATGAAATGAATGGAAAAGAGTTCCTTGATCATATCATAAATGTTGATTGGGCATTCAGCAAAGGTCCGTTCAGGAGGAGGAATGCGAGGAGGAGGTATGCTTTCAAACTCTCATGTGTATTGAATCGTATTTGTATTTTCTCTTTGCAAACGTGCTACTTAAAATGCGCAACTTAAAATGCACTAGCCAGTGTGACCATAACCAGTAGGAGGATGCAGTACTTTTGATTATACATATTAGTGCTATTGTTCTCTTGATATGATATAGAGCGTAGATTGTAGAACTTCTGAAGGAATTTTTGTGTACAGTACCATATTTTAGTTTAGGGTTGACACTGGAAAACACTGAAACTCTTATAAATACAATAGAGCTGGATCTTCTTGAGAAACTCTTTCATCATGAGAAACTTATTAATCAATCATGAGCTCCAACTTTTGAATAAGCCGAGGATGGATGGATATGAAATACGAGCTCTATGTGTATTTTTGTCTTCTTTATATTAGATTTTTTATGACATTATTTTCGTCATCAATTTCTTGAATCTGTTTGTAGATCACCTCGTGGTCGTCGCTCCAGGAGTCCACGAAGGAGGTTTTGATGGTTGCAAGTTTCTGTGGCTTTGGAGAGTTTTAGGGTAAAGGATATTTATGTGAACCTTTGTCTGATAGTTGACAATTGTATTATGGATGTTTTCCGGTGAGAACTTTTTCATTGTGTCCACTTTTTAGTTGGGTTTCTTAGGGGTGATGTTATTGAGTTTATGTTTGCTGTTCCCTCTTCAGTTTGGTACTAAAGTTGATTTCTTTTTCAGATTTTGAATTTTTATCATGTTGTGGATCATTTGTATTACTTTTTATCTGTTATCTGGAATACTGGCTTTGAGTCGTTGTATTTTTGTGTCCCAAAAGTATCATACTTGCAGTTTCATTATATTTGGTGTGCAAAAATCTAATACAACTTAGTTTTGAACTTTTGGAGGAAAAAGCAGAGTATTCTTCTAAACTGTCTCACCTATAGTCATATTTAATAAGCTGCGACTAAGCTAATTACTCAGTATAAAATTAGCACGGTCACTTAAACAAATTTTACTAGTTTTTTTAAGGAATCATAAATTCAGGATAGGTAAATTTCGAAACCTGGTCAACGAATATTACCAAAAATCCAAATCCAAGGCCTCTATGAACCGAACTAAGGAAATGCTATACTTTGTAATACTCTTGTAACATGATAAAATCCGGCAAAATTTCATTGTAGGGCTTGATTTTTAGGTATTGTGTCATAATAAGTTTTAAATTTTTAACTTTTTCAGTTGAGGGTTTTAACATTAAGTTATTCTTAATGTAAGACATACTTTTACATTTTACTTTTTAATGTAAGACTCCAAATCATTTTGTATTTTGACATAATTATGTAAACCACAATACTCTGTTTTTTAAGTAATTATAATGACAAAAATTAAATGTCTTTAGTAAAATTACATAATAAAATAATTATTTCATAATTTACATTTATGCAAAAAGCTTAATGGTATTTATTTTAAAAGTTAAAAATTAAATTTTAACTTAATTGTGATCTAAATATGTGATAACATTAATAATAAACTATTTAGAAAATAATTTTATTTTTAAATAAATTTATAGAAAATATTACTTGTGAATAAAATTTATATTTTTAAAAAAGTTAAGGATATATAAAATTAATACCTATAATAAAAGTATTAAATATATTTGTAAAACTAGCTTTGTAAGAAAATTGATTCAATAAGTTACAATTATGCAAAATTAATTTAGCTTACTAAAGTAATTTTACTAAATTTATTTATAATTATTTAAATATAAATTTTAAAATAATAGTATTTTGGTTTACATATTTTATGTAAAAATATAAAGTTAGTTGGTGACTTAAATTGAGAACTAGAATGTAAAAGTAAACCTTTAATTGAAAATAACTTAAAATTGAAACTCTCAAATCTATATCTATATTTATATAATAAGAATTAACCATTTTCAAAATTAGTAGGTCAATTCTTAGTCAACATCCTGTCTGCATTAAATGTTTACTAAAATTAGTAACTTTTATGTCCTTTTCACACTTTTTTTATGTCCTTTTCACACTAGATTATATAAATGAACGGATATTATCTCACCTTTCATCAATCTCACCTATAATTCATGTGAATTGATTGATTGCCTTTAACTTTTCAAAACGTGTGCTATCCATTGTTTATTACTATTATTATTATAGTATGCACGTAATCAGTTGATTAAATAAATTATATATTATTATTATTATACTCACCACGTGACAGTTAATTAAAATATATCTATACTTATATTAAAAGGTATACCATTTACCATATTTAATATAAAAAAAAGTCAACAACATTTATTGCATTATTATTTCCGTATTATACAATTTATACTTATATAAAAAGAGATTCTATTTACTATATTTACTATTCAGAAAAGTCAACTGCATTAAATGTCATTACTATTTTGGTATTATAATATTTTATTTATTTAATTGTTTTATTTATTTGTTTTATTTTAAAAAGGTAAGTATAATAAAAAGATTTTAATAATAAAAAAATCAAATACCAAATAAAAATGTACACTTTGACTTATTTGATTATATTTGGTATTTGATTATACCAAATATATTCCTATTTAGTATATACATTAAATACTTACTAAAGTATTTGTTTGTTTTATTTGTCAAAGTTAAGTATAGATTTGTTTATATTATCAAATCATAAAAAAATATTAAATCCATATTGTAAAAAAAAAAATCATATAATTTTATAACAATTCTACTACACTATTTAACAATATTTTTTTTATTATATAATAAAATAATAATTAAATATTATATGGTGAACAACAATAAGTAAAACTGTTACTTTCTCTTATATCAAGGGATAAATTTATATGCTAAAATTAAATTTTTATTAGTATAAATATTTTAGTGAGATAATATATTAATTATTTTACAAGCAAGCCCTAACATGCTCATATTTAATGTCTTAAAAGATGTAGAAAAAAAAACTTAGAATAACTCTATTGTTTTTTAAACTTAAACGTTGATTAAAAGAGGTAAAATTTTTTAATTTTTTAGACTTAAACGTTGATTAACACTATAGATTGAGAGTTTATATTTAGTAAAATTCCTAATTGTAATAAAAAAATTAATTTTTGCTATATTTTAGAATATCTTTAAATTCATTATATATAAAAAAAAAACTACAATGAAAAAAGCAAGTCAGCTATATATCGATTTGTTGTACTCCTCAAATCACATTCTACAAGGAAAGGAAACTCATTGATTAAAATATTATTTTGTCAGTAGTCTTAATGTACAAGAGACTTTAAGACTCCATTTGAATATTATACAACTTTTATTGAACATTGTATAATTTTCTTGCGTATTATAAACTTTTATTGAATATTGCATCTTATAATATAATATTCTCTAAATAAATATATCTCGTGCTTTGTACGGGTTACGTACTATATATATTCCGTACATCTTTCTTTATTCATGTATATAATTATAACCTTGGATAAATAATCTTAAAAATGTACGTCTCGTGCATCGCACGGACTCTGTACTAGTGAAAAAGTTAAAATTCGAGCTCTATTCTATTGCGACACAATAAAAGTTTTTCTTAGATTGAGAAAAGTTTAAAAAAAGAAAAAAACTTTACAAAATGATGTTCCATTCCATATTGCAAAACAAACAGTCAAACAGGCATACTGGGCTGTCCCCCGAGAAGTGAGAGCCCACTCAATAAACCCTGAAACAAAAACCCTAATTCCTCCGTGGCCATTTCCACTACACATACAGTTGAGAGCCACAAGAGATGGAGCAGAGGCTTTCTAATTCATGGCGAATGACAATGAATGAGAAGAAATTCATTGAGACGGCGCTGCTGTCGGATCTCAGGATCGATGGCCGCGGTCCTTTTGATTATCGAAACTTGACAATTCAGTTTGGTAGGTAAGAACACTTGATACATTCCCAGTAAAATCTATCTTGTAATTTTAGGCCAACTTATGTTTTGAGTATACAGTTTGTAATGGTTGCTTAATTTTCAACTAACGTTGCTCTTATTCTGTTTCACATGTAACAAAATACTTTTAACGATAATAAAAAATATTTTTTTGATAACAATCTCTTGAGACTTTCTTCTTCTGGGATATGCGTCTAAAATTTGTGGTTTATAACAGCGAGGATGGCTCATCGGAGGTACAATTGGGCCAAACTCGGGTAATGGGATTTGTAACCTCACAGCTAGTGCAACCTTATCGTGACCGCCCGAATGAAGGAACTCTCTCCATATTTACTGAATTCTCTCCAATGGCCGATCCCTCATTTGAAGTAGGGCGTCCTGGGGAATATGCAGTGGAGTTGGGGCGCATAATTGATCGCGGGTTGAGGTAATGTTTAAAGGTGCATTGTCTTATCCAATGCATTTAAACCTTTTGTTTCGGAAAAGAAAAAGAACTTTATTCTTCCTAGTGAAATTAATGAACTCTTCGGCTAAATGATAATTAGAGTTCAGTTGTGATGGAATTTATTGTGTTCACCCTTCCAACGCATTATATTTCTTGCATTAGAATATCACATCATACTGAGCTGTGAGAAGTTTGTTGCAGGGAAAGCAGGGCAGTGGATACAGAATCCCTTTGTGTTATTGCTGGTAAATGGGTGTGGTCTATTCGTATTGATCTTCACATTCTAGACAATGGCGGGTGAGTGGACCTTGTACATCTTTATATCTACATGTATTTGATATATATGGTTCTGATGATTTACCTTATTGGTATCTCGTGGTTCCTTGAGAGTAGGAATCTTGTGGATGCTGCCAATATTGCTGCTTTGGCTGCTCTTATGACTTTCAGAAGGCCAGAATGTACATTGGGAGGAGAAGACGGTCAGGAAGTTACCATACATCCCACTGAAGTGAGTTGTTTTCTTCCTTCTATTTGCATTTTCTTTTATGAAAACAATTACAGTTCTGATGTATTTGGTGTAAATTATAATTATATTCATAATGCAATCTGTGAAGTTTGTCTTGTACCATGAATTGTCCTTCTAGATATGGGTTTTTGGAAGCACTGCTCTTCTATGTAAGAAGCTGCTTCAGTGGATTTGGTATGCATTATATCTTCGGACGTTCAACTTGTGATTATCAAAAGTAACCGAGCTCTTTTTCAGTGGACTTGATATGATTATATCTTTGGACTTTCAGGACCCGAGTCGGTTACTTGTGATTATCAAAAGTAACTGAGCTCTTTTTTTATAAGGTGATAGTGGGTGTTAAATGCAGATAATATTTGGCAGCGGCACTGGACTGGCAATTTCAATATTTGGCTTCATCTTTGTGTTTTTATGAATATTGCAGGTGCAGGAACCACTTCCTTTGATTGTCCACCATCTACCTATAGCAGTAACCTTTGCATTTATTGGGGCCGAGAGCACCGTGGTCAGTATGCCATGGATATTATTATTACTATTATAATTTTTATTTTTATTTTTATATATTTTTATTATTTTTTTATTCGGGGAGCTGCGTCTCTTAACATCGCTTCTGCTTGTGAATGTCGCTAGTTAATTGACCCCTCACACTCTGAAGAAGCTGTTATGGGAGGAAAATTGACTGCTACTCTCAATACAAATGGTGATGTCTGTGCTATCCAGAAAGCTGGAGGAGAAGGCGTCATACAGAGTGTTATTATGCAATGCTTGCGGATTGCATCTGTAAAGGCTGGTGATATAACAACCAAAATCAAGAAAGAGGTTAGTAGTTCTTCTGACATGTACAATTTTTCTTGTCAAATAGTTGCTTGAAATTTTCATTTTCTTCGTATAAAATATTCTCTCTTTGAATACTGCATGGTAATCATTGTTTCCAGCTTTAACCTAGAATACCATAGGGGAATATCACAAATTTCTCGTTACCAGCTTTATATCTTCATGAAGTTTCTGTGGTAGTGGTTTGTGCATCTTTCAAAGTGTTCTGATCTGGCAAGCTGTGTTGCACGTGCCTGTTAGATTATTGAATGCGAAGATGCTTTTTTTTTTTTTTTGACGGATTTGTCCAAGAAGGAAGTCTTTTATAGTTTTATCATTTGCGCTTGTGCATTTCTTGATGAATTAAACTCTCATTAAAGCGTTCGCAAGAAGGCATGCAAACTGAAAAATTGTCAATGTTTAGTCTAGGAAATAAATATCTGTCAAGAATCTTTTGTGCTTAGCCTATGCAAAAATTATGTAAGGTATGATTTCAGATCTCGAAAGTATTCTATACTAAAATTATGGCGCTCGTATTGTGTGCAGGTTGAAGTGTACAACTCAGCAAGAGCTTTGAAAAAGATCAAACGACACCCTTGTTCTGTTGGTGTGAGCCAAGTTGCTTGGAAGGGAGTTGGTAATTTATCAAAGGAAATGGGGAAGCCTGAAATGAAAACAGAGGATAAAAGTACGAAAGAGGACTTGGAAATTGAAATCCATTCATCTAAAAATGATGAAAGCAGTTTGGGAGATGTCAAACCTAAAGCTTTTATTGGCGGACCATCTAGCTGGTAGGGCTTTTCATCGTTCTGAACTATAGTTAGTTTATTCTTTTCCGATTTGCAGATTACAAATTTCGTCAATGAGTGAGCCGAGATTCCCACTCAGTTACATGTAGTGTACTATGTATATGTGTGTGTTTTTAGAATTAATGTAGATACATGTTCATGTCACATGAAATGATGAAATCGATGCTTCTAAATATGAAACACTTCATCAATGAGAAAGTAGAAAGCTCACTGTGGTATCAGTTTATTGAGAGAAAAAAGTTTTTATTGCAGGGATTCGTGTTCTGAGGGTGTCAGTGTTGATGAATTGAAGGCATCTCTAGCTTCGAGAGGTATTTTAAATTTATATTTGTCTGTTTGTCTAGAAACACATGATTTCAAATACTTGAATGGAGATTTTCGTCCTACTTTGTTGTTCCAGTACTTGGTTGTCATTTTGTCAAGATAATTTCAAATACTACTAGCACAATAATGAATTCAATATGAGCTAATTCAACATTTTTTTTATTTATTTATATTTCTGGGGGCATCTTTTGAAAACCTAATCTTGTCTGATCCCACTGTACCTGTTTGAGAATTCTGGTTTAGATGAGATGCACAAGTAAATTTATATTTTATAGCTGCAGTAAACCCAGAAAAGAAGATGGATATATTACCACCTGAAAAGCCAGAGATTGGTAAACCCCTTAGAGGTCAGGATCCGTCACTTCCGTCACATGATACTGATGGCGCTCAACAACAGACAATCAAAGATAAGAAGAAGTTAAAGGATGCTGTGAAGTTGAAGCGTAAGCACAAAAGAAAAATGAAGAATTTAACGAATACTGATGGGAGTTAGCATTGGGGCTGTGGTATGTTAATCTCACTTTTTCTCGTGTTGGCAATGTAATATTTTACCTGTCGACGTATTTTTCTGCAGAACATTGTAAATTTCTTCTTACTTGTTTCACAAAATACAAATGCCCCACATATACACAAATCATTTGATTGACCCCATTACTGATTGTTGCAGATTGAAAATAGTCTCAAAACTAGTCTATTTTACTGAAATGACATCTGTTAGTCGAGATACTTTTCAAGGCAAGGTCATCTCACGTGCAGTCTTGGAACTAGAAATAGTTGTGGCTTGTCTGGACTGTGTTAGAAATGCGGATAGAATGAACTAAAAAGCTTTGGCTGGGTACGGCTGCATTTGAGAAACCCGAAAATTTAGTTGGTTATGTTTCTAACTAAGTTGCCTCTTTCCTGACCATCTAGAAACAGTTAGAAGAAGCGGTATTCCATTACTAGTAATTTTGCTATGTACCATTTTCTGCTTATTAAACCTATGAATGATATAAAAAACTTCGTTTCAGTACTAACCCAGTATATCAGTAACACGCATTTGTTTGTTTGCATATTGAACTGATAGCATTGTAAAAAAATAACGAGCTTCCTGAAGGTTTGTGAATTAAGGACTAGCGGCCATTGGGCTTTTATTGAGTTTCTTTTAAAGAATTCTGTATAGCCATGATGAGTTAGACGCGAGCAACCATTGGGTCAATACATACAAATGTTTAAAAAGTTTTCTGAGAAAGAGAAGCAGAAATAAGAACAAAGAAGGTAAAAGTGGTAATGGAAAAAAGAAAAGGATGGAGAAAGATAAAAAATAAAAAGAAAAGATTTTTCGTCCAAGGCCCTCACTAGATTTTTTTTTTAAATTATTATTATTATTATTATTATTATTATTATTATTATTATTATTATTTATCTTAATGACAAATACAATTATATATACTCAAATTAAGTACAACCAGTAACCTAATAGCTACAAAAGGAAGTTTTTAACTGTTGGAGACAAAAATAAATGAACTACCGGAGGGTCATTAATATAGAGTTTCCCCTTCACAAAGGGATTAATTCTACATAAAAGCTCCCGAAAGACTAGAATACAGCAAACCGTAGATGAAGATCGAAAATAAAAAATTAAAATTCCATTGATAACTCATAAATCTGACATTACTATGATCGATTAGAGCACGTGCGCCCTAACTCTTGACATAACTCAGAATTACTCATTGGGCAAAACGGCTACAGAATGTGTCTGAGCAACACACGCAACTGTGTGAAAATATGCCAGTGCCCTCAGCTTTTCACAAAAGACCACTTAATTAGTTTTAATTACTAATATGTCACCGCGTATTGACCATTCTAGTAACCCGCGTTAACCATTATCCTAATCATTGATATTTTTTTTTTTTTTTTTTTTTTTTTTTGTCAATAAACTTGAATTCATACGATCAACTGATCAATAATACAATTCGAAATAAAGGAGATAAAAAATACGGGAGACAATCCTTCCACAAGAAGGATTCCGTCGATCTAATAGCCCATTTAGCTATATTATGAGCTATAACATTATTATCGCGACTAACGTGACTACAATTTCCACAATTCAACAACCCAAAAGATCACTAATATCCGCAAAGACACTATGCAACGAGTTGTTAAAATTTTGGTCTGAGATGCCAATAATAATAGAAACAGCGTCAGTTTTGGCTGATTGGATCATAAAGTCTGAATCTAACGTGAATCGAAGCCCGAATCGGAGTGCCATAGCTTCTGCTGTTTCCGGAGTAAAGGATCCGGATTGTTGTGAGGCAAAAGCTGCCCAACATAGACCATCCGAATCACAAATCCAACCACCAAAACAAATCGAACCAGCACTAACTGCCGCATCACAAAAAAGAGTAAACCCATTTTGGCATGTACCTAGACCACTCCAAGATAGGATGGATGTCGGTGTAAGCATTCATTGAATATTGGAAAAGAAATGATTCACGGCATTTATCTCTTCCAACCATATGTTTCCAATAGCCCAGATTTGTTCAACACTCCTTGCCGATATGCCGTGTTGAGTACGGTTCCTCTCATTCCATATAAGACACAGAAAAATTGCGAACACTGGCATTTTCTTCTCTTTTATCTCCATCCAAAATATGACAAAATGTAGAGGAGAAGCTTTTACCTCGCAACTTCGCCAACATATCCCACCAACCGGTCATTTTCCACAGCCTTTTAACCCATCCGCATTCGAAAAATATGTGGATGTTTGATTCCCATCCTCCACATCTAGCACATTTTGCTACCACTATAATGGACCTGCGAGTCAAATTTTCAGGAGAAGGGAAAGCTAAGTGACACAGTCTCCAAAGAAAATTTTTTTATTTTCGGTACAACTTTCATTTTCCATAGATCTTTCCACCATCGAGAATTTCTGTGAGAACTCGATTCTCGAGGATCTTCTGATAGGGCTTTAAGCATATGATAGGCACTCTTTACAGTGTAATCTCCATTTTTAGAATAGTGCCAGATAACTCGATCCGAGCTACGGTTATTGGTCAAGGGAATGGATAGAATTTTCTGTGCATCAATTGGTAGAAAAGTGCCGTTGATTAGGTTTTCATTCCAAGCTCCGCTAACTCCAATGAGATCCTGTACTCGGTCAATTCCGATTATAGGTTGAGAGAATGGTTTAAATTGTCGAAAATGAGGAATCCATGGATCCGAGAAAAATGGTTTAAAGTTTTATTAACGCCCCATCTCCAACTCTCCATCGCATACCTGCTCTCACTGCCTCGCGTCCCCACAAAATGCTTTTCCAAATGTAAGAAGATCCCGCCCGATCCCCGGCCTCAAGGAAATTATTTGAAGGAAAGTACTTAGCTTTAAGAACTGTAGCCACAAGTGAATCCGGACAAGAGAGTACTCTCCACGCCTGTTTTCCCAGCAATGCTTGATTAAACAAAACAAAATCTCGGAATCCCATCCCTCCCTCCTGTTTTGACGTAGTCATTTTGCTCCATTTTACCCATGCTAACTTCCGTTCGCCATTACGGGAGCCCCACCAAAATTGAGCAACAATTTGTTTGATTTGATTACAAATTGCTCTTGGTAACCTGAACAGGCTCATAAGATAAGTAAGCATAGATTGCACAACAGCTTTAATCAAGACTTCCCGGCCGGCAGTCGAGAACAAATTGATTTGATAGATCTAAAGGTCTATATTTATTTTTATATTTCTTTCACCATGTAACATTCTCATGTTATCCAATCCCCCTCATCCCTTCTTTCTCTCTCTCTCTCTCTCTCTCTCTCTCTATATATATATATATATATATATATAAATTCTAGACAAATAAGTTAATGCAAAAACATTTTTTTTCCTCTCATTTTTTTCATCTAATTTTGAAAAAAAAGGTTACATTTTTCATTAATCAAGCAATTATATTTTTTTATTTATTTTATTACATAATAGCTACCACTAACTAATTATAAAGTCACACTAATTGATATATAGAAGTTATATTCATATTAAAAATTTCATTGCAATTTTTTTTAACTATTTATTTAAAATTATTATTTTTTAATCAGCTTATCCAGAATTTTTTTTTTTATAATCTGTTATGTTTTTATGAGACAACCAAATCGTTTAAAATTTCAAATAATTGTTATAATAATAATTATATATTTTTTCATTAAATTAATTGGTCAACCATTTAAAATTGTAAAAATTACATTATTGCTACCAATATATTAATATATTTAAGTTAAATGGTTTATACTTATATCGACCATCACGTCCTCTATCCGGCTAATCGGAAAATCCGACGCAGTTTGCTTCTCATCCTAAATTTTTCAATGTTAGCAGTTATTGTTTTATAAATTTTAAACCAACATGTGTCTCCTAACTTTTTTTTTTTAATTTGTTTATTTATTTTGAATTATTTTTTATTTATTTAATTTATAACTGTTTTACATTGATTTGGAATGAATCCTAGTACAATTCTCCCTGACATTATTATGCTGTATGCCCAAGCTAGAGTTTTTCAGCTCAAGGAAATCGAGACATATGTTTTTGTTTATGATTGATGAATTGATCTCATCCCACAGCCATAGATACATTTTGCTTGTAGATTCTTCATCCGGACTCCATAGGAACAGGCACATCGAAAGTTGTCACAATTGCATAACTTGAAAAAGGATTCAAAGAAATGCCTATTCTATTTATTGCATACAACAGTAGGTCAGGGTTCCGGGACAAAAGCTTCTAGTAAGTAAGATAGCCAATCTAAAGGGAGATAGACTGTCAGAAAGAGGAAATCTTTACATGATTCGGTGAGAACAATTCAAAAGATCATTCCATGCTTTACTTGAAAATAAATTTACAGGAGAAAATAAATTCAACAACAATTCTACATCTTCCCAAATGAAAACCATTCAAAGCTCTCAGAAAAGCACTCTTCTATGCTATGCTTTACCCAAATCTCAAGCCCCAACACTCCCTTGTGCTTTGCTTAATGTAACCACTCAGTGAACAATTACCAAAATCACCTGCCCTAACCACACACACTAACAAAAAAGTGAATAAGCGCTACTATTTCTTCTCAGTGGAGAGCTCATTCTCAACCCGGCATTCATAACTTTGATATGGGACTTCAATCATAGGTCTCGGGATAGGACGCCCACCAAAGTCTTCAGGGAATTTCTCAAAATTCGGACCAAAATTGAACTTAACAACACAATTTGGTTGGTCGGGAAGGGTGTACATTGAGGCTGCCGGGAAATACTGGCCACCGTAAAGGTCTGTGAAAGCAACCCCCTGACATATTCCATTTTTGAAGAAAGATATCTCACTTCCTGCAAACCATTCGCAAAGAACAAAACTGATCATCAAATAAGGATACTTAACGGTTAATATGAACACTGCAAAAAATAGTGCCATATAGATTTTCAAAACATAGATCTCAAAATTTCGGAGAATAAAATATAATAATCCTAAAACAAGATAGTCCTCAGTATGTTGTCTACTTGTTTGCTGGATATTGATAATTGCTTGTGCGCACAAAAAAAAAAAAATGTAGTGAAGATCAAAAGCAACAATTCAGATCCATCAAATTTTCTCAAGNCAGATCATGGGATGAGGTATATAACTTGCAGAGCTCAACAACACAAATTAGATGCGCATGTACAACAACTCAAAAAACCCGAACTACTAAAAGCTAATCCAATACTCACTTTAAAGTTAATGAATGTTATGTGCCTAGTCCCACGTAGATGGTAGAAGCAATGACCACAAACATTTTCCAATAGTTCAATCAAATAGTAACTGGAAAATAAACTCGAGCACAAAACTAGTTGCTGCATAACAAACCATAACTGGAGAACAATTCAAACTTCCAAACTTTCACAATACCACCACTCAGACAAAATCACCAAAACAAAATAAACACAAATATGAAGCATAACAACATTCACTGCCTCCACATCCATCCACATTGCAAAATCCAAACAAGACGCAACTCACCAGGCACGATTTTCGGTGGATCTTCCTTGGGGTCGGGCGCACAAAAATACCTTTGTCCCTTATACCAAACCAGCCTTGGGGGTTTGGGGGCATAAGCTCCTCCATCAGGCATGTTAATGTAAAATCCAATGACATCACCTTCTTTATACCCTTCATCACCGTACTTTTCCCTCAAAGCCTTGTGCACTTTGCTCCCATCAATATCCCTGTAGCCAAAGCTATTCCCATCATACCCAACGGGCGCCTGCAAGTCCCCCTTATCCGTGGACCAGCCCAGCCTCGTGTGTCCCGTCTCACCCAAATGCACCACCTTTATCTCAAAGTACCACGCGCCCTCACAGATGCCCCGAGTTGCCCTCACCATTCTATAACCCTTTGTGCTGCCGGCAGTCAGCCTGTCCTCACTTAGTTCCACCTTCTCCGCCTTGTAGGCCTTCGACAGGCAGATCTGCAAGTCTACGCTGTCATCATTCTTGTCCGGAAACCTAGGGATTGGGGTTATCATCACTTTATCCTCACCGTCGCCGGTGGTGGCATTCTTGGAATTATGGTTGCCGATGGAGGTGTGCTTCGTCTTCTTCTTCCCCTTCCTGGATGTGGTGGTCCACACGTCGTTGCTTTTCTTCTTCGACTTTTTGCTGGATTTGGCCGCCGATGGTTTCCCGTTCTGAGGTGGGACGGGAGTTGCGTACGCGAGCGAGGGCGGTTCGGTAATTTCGGATTCCATGAGCTCGGGCTTCGGCAAGTCGGAGAGCTTTTGGTTTTTCCGGGGGGAGGTTCGTTCTTCGTCGTCGGCGTCTGTGATTTGGGGGCGATTCGCCGAATTTGGGGAGAGATTAGGGTAAGTTTGATCGGAGTGTGCAGCTTGCGGGGTGCCATTGGTGGAGGTGTCTTCGGAGGATAAATCTCCAGAGGCAGTGGTTGCGGCGGTTACGGCTGTGGATTCGATGGCGGTCGTGTCAACGGCGCCGTCGCCGATGGTCGCGGTGGCTGTTGGAAAAGGGGTGGCTGTTTCCATTTCGTTCGTTGCTGTACGAAGAAATGTGTGGGTATTTACTTGTGGTGCTCTCGTCTTTTGGAGGATTTTAATAAGGCCAGAACGGCCCAAGAATTAGTTTGGGCTTCGTAAGAAGATCCGGTTCACATTATGAATTAGTTTGGGCTTTGAACGAATACATATAGCACATTATGAACCGAGATGGAGAAAATTTGAAAGGTGAGGGAAAAAAAACGGATTGAATACTAGAGTGGAGAGAGAAATTAAGGAAAAGATAAAAAGAAACAAGCGAGAGAATGTTGTTTATACCATATTGCTATATTCGTCTATATACTATTAGTTTTAGAGGAAATTACACCACGGACGAGATCAAGTGAATTATATTGCAATCTTACGATCTATTTAAAGTATTTAGCATATTTAACAAAATTTCGTATCTTATTTTTCATAATACGAGAAACAGGTGAGATATAATTTCCTTAATTGTAGGGAGTACATATTTAATGCTATTTAATATCGAGAGAAAACCTTTCCTCTTCATCCTCCATCGCCATGCCTCCGCCTTCTGCGAACAGGCCCGATCTTGAGAGTCTTCTAGAAGGTGATGTTAAGAGAAAGTAATCATGACCTAGTTGGGATTAATAAGTGGAGTAGAATTAGGTTTCCTTGGCCTAATGGGATAAGCCCATATTTGACACCTCCTTAAGGTCCCTAATGGAGCTTATAAATAATTAAATAATAATATATCCCACTAGAATATTATTATTGCTCTCCCCATTTGGCTCCAATTTAATCAATTAAATCAAACCTCCACTTGATTAATATTTATTAATCTTATTGATCGATTTACTTCTCTATGTTTAAGATATAACGTCCGTTGATTAATTAAATTACTGTAAAAAATAATTAATTAACTTCTTATTCATTTCCGAAACTAGTACCACTCAGATCGTTAATCATTATGTCGGAACACATCCGCCTGCAGGGCTTGACATAATATTCCTTCCTGAGTTCATTTCGGGGACGTCATCAATCCAGCGCACTGGAACATAGTGACCGTAAATAATTTATAATAGCGCGTCATATAAACATCCTCATTATCAGAGCCCAAGCTAAGTCGTCTTTGTGCACTATTCGAATTAGGACTTGCGTGATATATGTGAATTAATTGTGTACGGGCGCAACGCCTAATAGATTAGAATTGCAAATAAGTGTTGTTTGCAGGTATTCTTGAATCCGACTATTATGGTATGTATGCTTTTAATTCATATATGTCGTTTTATAAGCCTCGGACATATCGAAGAGTTTTTGGGTTGGTAAATGCTTGTAATAAATTATTCGCGCAGTGGGCACCGCATAGTTTAAATGCTTTACTAGATCATTCATGTACGACCCTTGCGTGGGCTATAGGATCAATGTATGTAATTTGTATTATATAATTGTTCGTTGGACCCGATAAACGCGGACATTTCTCGACGAGACGAGGCGGGCTACCCCGCGAACCCGCAGTTAACGGGACACGTGGTACCGTGCAAATGCAGACATGCTCGTAAGCAGCTTGCTGTCATGTGCGAGTATCGTTAAGGCATGAGCAACGGAAGGCGCACGGACCCAGGTTAACAGAAGTGCGGACAACGGCAGCAGTAGGTACATGCCAACGGAGAAGACCCGATGGCGACTTTCCCGATGACGACTTGTTCAAGACGATAAGTGGGAGTCACAGCGAAAAGGAAAATTCCAAATCCTGAAACGGAAGACACATTCAACAAAGGACGAGATTGTTTTTCTCCGTAATATTGGAGATTGGTTAATGGCCATGATAGTTGAATTATAGTTCCTAGTTTACTATTGTCTATTAATCATGTATGCTCTTATGTGATTTAATTGCTCTATGTGCAAGGTAAATTGTTAGAGGCATGATTTAGAAAATCCCATAAATTAAATATTAAGTGTGAATGGGTTGAAATAAATTACATCCATGGCCTCCATTATAGGTTTGTTAGTGAAGTGGTTTAGATCGATCCCACAGGACGGTTTATTTCACAGTTCACAAGGACAAATCTCCTTCGGGATGGTAATAGCGAGCTATTTCAAAATCATACGGGTCATCCAAAGGTGGACGTATAATTTTGATAGTAAACCTAGTACCAATTAATGAGTTACACTTAAAGTGCAAATAATTACGATATTCCCAAAGGAAAAGGTTGTTTTTATTTCAAAAGTTCCTTCATCTAAAGAACGAGAGACACATTGACTCAATGCACTGGCCAAAAGATGAACCGACATTAATTAAGTACTGTTTGGACGGTATGTTAATTAATGGGATTAATCCCTCCTCTTGCGATGGCTTGAACCGTAGACGTCCACACTTCGTGGCCTGCGGGGATTCGGTGTATTGAGGTGTTGGTGAATTTATTCGAATATTGTTTTTTTTTGGGATCAATATTCGATGTTAAATTCAAAAACACCTGACTGAGTAAAGACTATGTTTGCATGATCCCAGGAATTCAAAATGTCTTTCAATCCGTTGTTCGTAATTCTCAAAGATAATTTACTTGTTCAAATATGATTAGAAATAGAACTTGGATAGTGTCTTATTTTGCTGAGGAATACAAGTCAAAGGACGAGTGTATCCGGTCTAAGCAAAATGGACATAGAAAGATGAACTGTCCTATTCTTAAGACAAGAAAGGTAAATCTTAATTCACTAGAAAGTCGAAACATTTTTAATGGTGTTATCTATCAGTACCTGGTGAATAGATACGTAACCACTAATTATGTAAAAAGGTTCCAGGAAACCATTCGACATGTGATAAGTAGATTACCATCTAGAATGGGTTTTGCTACGAAAGTGGCGACTATTGCAGTGGAAGTTCTCTATAGAAATTTTGGTTTTTGAGTAATTGTCTTTATGTGCCAAGTTTTAGAAAGAACTCACGTTCAGTTTCTAAATTGTATATGGATGTTATGTTTGCTGTTTTGAAAAGCAAAATGTTTTATCCATTTGGTACAAGGTAGGACAATTTGTAAACTCAAAGGAACAAAAAATATCTCAGAATGAGTTTTCTATAAAAATTTTGATTTATGAGTAATTGTCTTCATGTGCCAAGTTTTAGAAAGAACTCGTGTTCAGTTTCTAAATTGGGTATGGGTAAGAATGTGATGTTTTATCCATTTGGTATGTGGGTAGACAATTTATGAACTCAATGAGTCAAAATATCTCACAAGTGCAGTAGATGAAATAAATAGCACGTCGACTAGAACCAATAAGAAGAAAGGTCCTTCAATGAATGAATCATACATTATTTTGGCATCTAGTGTTTGGATATTTTAGCAATAGTACAATTCAAAGGTGGATAGCCATTGAACTCATGGGTTCTTTGGGAATGGATGAAACTATCAGACCTACGAATTATACTTGGTAGCTAAAATGACATAAATGACTTTTTGTAGGTCAAGGGATTTAGAAGCCAAACATATGTTAGGATTAATTTATCTGGTTTGTGAAGTTCTATGATTTTTAGGACAAAAGGTAGTTTTGAGTATTTTGTTTGAAGAAATTTGTTCAAAACAGGGTACATTAAGTGATAATCCATAAGCTTAAGTACATCAAAAGAGTGCAATGACAATTATGGAAAAATGTCGAGATTAATGTATTAGTGGCATTACGATCGAAATCGTAGTGACTAATACCTTTTGGAAGATCATGGAAATACTTGTTGGATGTTGAGATTTGGTCTCAACTGGTTGCATCTAGTTCATTCAAACGGGACGATGTAACTTGACGAAGGAAAATGTCTTTTAAGTAGATTGGTTATGTCAAGGATGAGTTATTAGGAATTTCACTTTTTTGTATTGGAGTTATGCAAATAGCAGGGTAAGTTCTGAACATAGTTTCATCTAAGTTAGTAGTCATTACTCTGAATGAATTGTAGACGAAGGCATAGGCCTAGTCAGAAATACATTCAGATTCAGAGTGTTTCAACACACGTGCTGGAAATGATGATACTAATAGGATTGGAAAGGTTGTTCGAAAAATAGGCTATTTGTGGGATACTTCATAGTCACGAGAAGTGAGTGGATTATTTTATAGTACTAAAAGTCAGAAGGTGATCATTAGTACGAATGCCTGATTTTTAGAGGAATACTAAGTAATAAACCACAAAGCCCATTTGTAGAATTGTTTTGAGGAAAGATAAAGGTGAATGTTCAACTTTGTTACCAAGTGTACAAATGTGATACCACAATAAAGACTGCAACACGTATTTTGTGCTATACACTTTTGCAGAGGGAACCTCGTTGTAGTGGGAGGGTTGCAAAACAACTCCATGAAATTGTGACAATGAGAGAGTCATTGGACTTGATCTCTGGGAAACACGAGATCATGATATTCATGTTTCGAGAAAGTCTCGGACTTAGTCTTTAGAAAACTTGAATTCATCCCTAGTTATACAATGAGTAGATCCAAGCAAGGATGCAGAAACTTAGCAAAGTTTTAATGATTTCTGATTTAAAGTCGTGAACTCTAATCAGATCTGGGTTCTTATAGAATTACCAAGTAGCATACGGGCTATTGGACGAAATCTATAAGTGAAGACTTTAGTACAAGGCTTGTCGGAAAATAACAAACTCAGAAAGAATGGGATCTATTATGAGTAAGTTTTTTCACCGGTAGCCATGTTTAAGTCTGTATAAATGTAAGGCTTGTTGTGAAATAGTAAACTCAGAAAGAATGGGATCTATTATGAGTTAGGCTTTTCACAAGTAGCCAAATTTAAAGTTGTTGCCACTCATATGAGTTATGAGATTAGGCAAAGTAGATGTCAAGACATTTTCCTTAATCGGGAGTCTTGTGGGAATATCCATAAGCAGCACCCAGAAGTAATCATTGAAAGAAGGGCTATGAGCATCTAGTCAGTAGGATGAAACAGTTCATTTATAATTAGCTGGACATTTGGTTGATAAGTTCGAATCGTGGATTCGATTATTCAACAAATGAGCATTGTGAGTGGCGCAATGGAAGCGTGGTGGTATTTTTGTACTATGTGTTGACAACATCTTGATCACTAGACAGTGTGAGAGTGTTGAAAGGCACAAGGGTATGGTTATCCAAGTAGTTGGATATGAAGGATTCAGAATCAACAAATATTCTTGAGATTGTGGATCACAAGAAAGATATGTTGTGATTATCCCGAATTTCATTATCCAGATACTATCATAAGGCTCATTCGAAATTTGCATAACACAAAGGCAGTTTCTTGTCCTCGGCAAAAGGAAGCCTAGTATGTGCCATGTGGTAAATGAGACTTGATGTCTATTATTGCCAAGGGCATAATGAGTAGATATCGAAGTAATCCTAGACAGGAGCAATTGGTTCAAGGTAGAACATATGATCAAGTTCCGTAAAAAGGCTAAAGATAATATGTAGGGTTACCAAACGAGCCATAAGCAACCTATGGGTTACAAAAGATTCTGATTTCTAATCAGGACATGAACAACAAGTAAAAACCACCTTATGGTTTGTTTCACTTGTGGGAGCCAAGCAGAATGGAGGAATCTCAAACGGTAATACGTTGAAAATTCCATCATAAGAAACTCAGTACGTCCCTTCCCAAGAGGCGAGCGACGTAGAGATTGGATTCGCCATTGAACTAAAAAATGTGAAACCTTGTCAGACCAAGTCAGGTCACAATTGATTGTGATGACAGTTGGTGCAGTTAAGATAGAGAGGAATCACTAGTTCATAAAGCAAGTGGCACATAAAGCAAGTACGCCCATTGCAAAGGACTTTGACAGGGTAGATGTTTGTCGCCTAGTTACGTCAGGAGACTACGGTAAAATCCTTTTAGGATTGGCTTTCCGGTGAAAGCGGATGATGGCCATGTTAAAGGATTGGGAGTCGGATGTATGGCAGAAAGGACAACAATTCTTTGAGATTAGATTGAAAGAAAATTGTGGTTAGTGATAGCCATGAGCTTATTAAGCATAAGTGGGAGATTGTTGGATATGCTGTAAAAGCTTGGCTTTCAGATATGAACAATTCCACTTTGATCTGACAATCATGTTTCGGTCAAAGTACATATGCTTGCAGTTTATTTATTTATGCAATCATACTCCTTATCTTACATTGAGATAGTGCGGTTCGTGGTGTCTCGAACAGAAAGGTCACCTATCGGTTTCTTGTAAGACTAAACTATTCGTTCACAGTCTAGACAGACAGTGAGACCCCTCTTGGAAAAAGACTGTAGTGTATTCTTGATTCAGTTGATCTTTGACTGGAGAACTACACTAATACTTATGTTAAGTATTCAACAGGACCTTGCAAGGCTAAGATTATGAGACTCACTGATCGTTGTTGTAATCTAGACCTTCAGTGATTGATGCGTTCTCTAAAGCTGTAAGATAATATAAAATAGGCATATATATTTATTACTTATTTATTTGATTTACCAAGGGTGATTCCTATTTTGTTAGGATGACATACTCGGTATTTTGGTAAATAAAAATATTTATATAGTGCGCTATTATAAATTATTTACGGTCACTATGTTCCAGTGCGCTGGATTGATGACGTCCCCGAAATGAACATAGGAAGGAATATTATGTCAAGCCCTGCAGGCGGATGTGTTCCGACATAATGATTAACGATCTGAGTGGTACTAGTTTCGGAAATGAATAAGAAATTGATTAATTATTTTGTCAGTAATTTAATTAAGCAACGGACGTTATATCTTAAACATAGGGAGGTAAATCGATCAATCAGATTAATAAATATTAATCAAGTGGAGGTTTGATTTAATTGATTAAATTGGAGCCAAATGGGGAGAGCAATAATAATATTCTAGTGGGATATATTATTATTTAATTTTATTAAAATTTTAGGAATTAATTTATTCCTTATTTAATATTCCATGAGATAGGAATATTCCTTCTAGAATATTACCTAGGGTTAGGAGACTTGAGAATCTTCTAGAAGGTGATGTTAGGAGAAAGGAATCATGACCTAGTTGGGATTAATAAGTGGAGTAGAATTAAGATTCTTTAGCCTAATGGGATAAGCATCCGCCCCTTCCGACCTCGTCTTCTCCTCATGGGTGTCCCTCGCCGACGCCTCCGCCTGCCCTGACGACTTCTGTGTCCTCTGCTACGCCGCCGCCTTCGCCGTCGTCGTCGCTCTAGACGGCTTCGGTCCCACCGGATTTCTGAAATTCAGCAACCTCATCCTGCTCCCAAAGTCGAACGTGTGTATGGTCTGAATCCCTACTCGCAGATCCGTCATCTCCACTGACAGAGTTTGTCCAAGGTGCCTTGAGGAGACTAAGGACGATTGGAGAATTTTATTGTTAGGTTTTAGTTGAGAAGATGACCTGACCAGACGGTGTATATGTTGTATATATGTAGTATATTTATACTTTTTTTGTTGTTTGTGTAGTTGCATGTATATATACTGTATATTTTTTTGTATATATAATGTTTATATTTTTTCGTATGCACACTATTAGAGTGTGTATAGTTTGAATTTTTTGTACGAAAGATTGAATTTAAAATCATAAGGATCGGCATGAACCTAGGTATATATAGTACATTTTTCGTATATATACTGTTTATATTCTTTATTTTTTCTGTATATGTTGTGTTTTCCACCATCTCGTTGCTTAGAAAATGATCCTAGGTACATATAGTGTATATTTGTCGTATATATACTGTTTATATTCTGTATATTTTTCTGTATATTTACTGCTCGTGATGGGATGACGTTGCGTGATTGTTTAGTTCAGATTTTTCTTTTTTTAATTAATGAAAGAATCCCGTTAGTTACGCGATTCTTGGGATGATAACTCTTTATTTTTTGTTTGACAGTTATATTGTAGTTATTCAAATAATTATGTTAACCTAGGCATACATGCAAATAAGTTTTAATTTTTGTATTTATGCAATTATTTTAAAATCCTTAACGTAGAAGTGCAAATTACCCTTAGTTTTAAAGTTGCCTAGATGTGCAAATGTTTTTTTATACACGCGTCACAGTGAGTTTAAGTCCAAATAGTATGGGTCCTAGGGAATGACCTGGGCAAAAAGACATAAGTAACCACACCATAAAATTGATTTCCATACAAATACCTGATAACTCTGAATTCCAAAAATACGTTAATACATTCCAAAGGAGTTTCTGAAACAGTTACGTAAATAAACTTAATAAAATATAATTGTTTCTCTTTTCCTTATCACGTTTATTTTCTTTCTTCTTCTTCTTCTTCTTCTTCTTCTTAGGGAATGACCTGGGCAAAAAGACATAAGTAACCACCCCATAAAATTGATTTCCATACAAATACCTGATAACTCTGAATTCCAAAAATACGTTAATACATTCCAAAGGAGTTTCTGAAACAGTTACGTAAATAAACTTAATAAAATATAATTGTTTCTCTCTTCCTTATCACGTTTATTTTCTTTCTTCTTCTTCTTCTTCTTCTTCTTCTTAGGGAATGACCTGGGCAAAAAGACATAAGTAACCACCCCATAAAATTGATTTCCATACAAATACCTGATAACTCTGAATTCCAAAAATACGTTAATACATTCCAAAGGAGTTTCTGAAACAGTTACGTAAATAAACTTAATAAAATATAATTGTTTCTCTCTTCCTTATCACGTTTATTTTCTTTCTTCTTCTTCTTCTTCTTCTTCTTCTTAGGGAATGACCTGGGCAAAAAGACATAAGTAACCACCCCATAAAATTGATTTCCATACAAATACCTGATAACTCTGAATTCCAAAAATACGTTAATACATTCCAAAGGAGTTTCTGAAACAGTTACGTAAATAAACTTAATAAAATATAATTGTTTCTCTCTTCCTTATCACGTTTATTTTCTTTCTTCTTCTTCTTCTTCTTCTTCTTCTTAGGGAATGACCTGGGCAAAAAGACATAAGTAACCACCCCATAAAATTGATTTCCATACAAATACCTGATAACTCTGAATTCCAAAAATACGTTAATACATTCCAAAGGAGTTTCTGAAACAGTTACGTAAATAAACTTAATAAAATATAATTGTTTCTCTCTTCCTTATCCTCACACATACACAACAACACGCCGGCGGCCCGACCTCCACCGGCTCGGCCTTACATCGTCACCCGACCTCCAGCCTGTCTCCGCCCACATCACCGCACAACCTCCACCCTTAGTCCGCCCACATTGCCGCCGACCGCAACTCCCTCTGACGGATTTTGGCTTCTCCGGCAACCGCGGTCTGTGCACGCGTGTTACGTCATAGTGCACACCCGCCGGAAAAGACCACCGTATCGTCCTGCCTGCCAGCATCCATTGACCGTCGTCTTCATCGATCCACTCCATCGCTCGCCGGAGTCCCCTCCATCGGCGCTCCCACCGCGGCTGACTACCCGCTTGTCGTCACCTGCTCCTCCAACCTCACGCCGGAGTTCTGCTGCCGCCACCACAATGAATCCACCACCGGCAACCACGCCTCTGGCCTCGTGCTCACAGGCTTCCACCGCCTTCAACGGCAGCCACGCCAGAGCTTTTCTTCATCCCTCCGGCCACTTCATTCGACCAGCACTAGACCAACCGCCCCTAGCCGTCTACAGCGCCATGGTCGGCGTGATATCTCTACTCGCGGACGCCGCCGGTGAGGACCCACCGGGGCTGAACACTCTTCTTGGCCGACAATCACAAAAAATCCAAATTGGGATTGTGGGGTTTTTTTTTTTTTTTGAAAATTTGATAATTTTAAGGGACAAAGTGTAATTTTACATATTTCTATATTTTACAATTTAGCAAACGGGGTCAAATTTATAATTTGTACACAATTTAATAATTGCACCATATTTGTACATAAAAATGCACATGCACAATATTGGGAAACAAATGACACTTTATTAAAAAAAATATTAAAATGATAAATAAACTTTTATAATAATAAATTGTAAATTATTTCAATTGTTAAGGTCAATTTGTTGTACAATTAAATCTACTAAATATAGTTTTCAAAAACAAATAATATATATAAAATAGTGCACTTTATATATCATCCCGATGCACTTTATAAAACACTACGTTGCACTTTATCTATACACTCCATAATGACGTCAACAACTTCCCTTAAAAAATACCACACAACATAAATCTAAAAAACTGATATACATACTTTAACATCAATCACATCATTTATTCACACAAAACACAAACATGATAACGTACCAAACTTGCAGTAGTTCACTTTATACATCAATATAATGCACTTTATATAACAACACGTTGCACTGTAAAATACATTATGTTGCACTTTATCAAGACTGTCATATTGCACAATAAAGATCGAAACTGACCGAATTCAAACATTTTCAATTAAAAATAATACAAAAATACTAAATAAAATTATTAGCAGATTAAATATAATTTAATATAAATGACATATTATTTCGATTATTTATGATAATTTGGTTAATTGAACCGAATAAACTAATTAATTATGGTCATGTTCAATTTGACTTGTGACAAGTTCAGTTGGTCAATTATGCACAATACAGACCGACAACGTGCACTTTATTGATGGACGAATTGCACCTTAATAACTGTTAGATTGCACAGTATGTTTCGTTTACATATATACAATGTAATTTTTTTTCATAAAAAAAAACTAATATATAATATCAAATAAAAAAAATATTAACTACTAATCATGGTTTCTATAATAAATAATATAATTTATGTAGGTTATTCTGGTTATCTATGTTAACCGACAAATAAACGATCATGTTGAAATTTCAACGTCAACCGATTAACAGTATTGTGCATTCTATGGGGCGGTGACATCTTGATTTTTTATTTTTTTTTTTAATTTTTAATGTGCATATATTCACATGATATTGTGCAAATTATTTATCGTTGTTGTGCATTGTATCTAACAGAATTGTGCCAATATTAAATTTTTTTCATAAAATACATACTTAATCCATCAATTAAAATTAACTATACTAGAATTTCACAAAATTTAAGATGAATATCCATACACATTTTATATAATTTTTTTGACCAATATACTGCATTTATAAGTTTTTTCCTAAAATGAATACTTAAACCATTAATTAAATTACAATATAAGTAAAATTCTTGAAAATACATAGGTGTCCCTAAAAGTTACCTAATTTCCACTAAATCACACCTAACCTAACCCTAATTTTGAAATTCACCTACACCTGCAACATTGAAATCCGCCTGCAAAATCGGGAAATTCATCTACACCTAACCATCACGCCATTGCAATCGGCCCCAATCCAATCCTCCCCTGCCGGTGGTGCTCAACTCAGCAGTCCGTGGTGGTTACTGTAAATGTAACGGTGGAACAAGGCCATCGTAATCCTGCGACGCAAAGGACTCACGGCAGACTCGAGTCGGCCAGAACTTAGACACGCGACGGAGGCGCTGTCGAGTGACACAGGGTGCTGGAGACCCGGTGGCTTCGCGCAAGGTGTTTGACGGAGGAGCCGGAAGTTGGTGGTGGAGACTTGCGCCCGACTGTCGACGACGAGGTGGATGTGAATTTGACGGACAGATTGGGCCGGTGGTCGAGCCGGTGGGGGTGGAGCCGTGGCAGGATGTGGCGGTGTTGACAGGACCGACGACTGCGGTTTTGGTGGCGGCGGTCGAAATCCAAGGTTGTCGATGGTGATGTCCGGCGTCGTCTGAGTTGTGTGTGGGTCGGGGGCGGCGACCGTCACCGGACGGCGGGACTGTTTCTATGTGTGTGTGAGTTCTGTTGACAATGTGTGGGTGTGTGTGTGTGTTTTGTGTGAATTGTGAGAGAGAGAAAGTCATTAGGTATTAGGTGGTAGATGAAGGTGGGTCCCACTGTTGAGTTGTATTTATTTGAAATGACCACTTTATCCTGAATGAATGGTAAAATGTAAATAATTGGCTACGATTTGACCATTTATTTACAAGAATGCCATCCCATTTTGACTACTATTATTAATATTTAACATGATCATAGCCAATGACTTGTTGGATCCAATGGTCCATGATCATTCTTATTTCTTTCATTATCTACCATTCTCATATGATCCCTTATATATATGTGTGTGTGTGTGTGTGTATAATAAAATTAAGATTGATAAAACAACACAAAATAACTAAA